CACACACACACAGACAACCTCTCGTCAATATGCGTTTTTTGCATTGCTGCAAAAAACGCATAAAAAGGGTCGGCAAGTTGCTAGTCAGTGAAGGAATGGAGGCCCCGGTTACAGAGACGGGGCCGTCGCCGCGACCACGGCAGATTGTGCCTGTCATCGGTGTACAGTGTACTCCGATGCACAGTAGCATGGACGATTTGCAGGTGTCCGAGAAGCGGCCAGCGAGTCCGGCAGCAGCGTTCAGTCCGCAGCTGATGTGCTTGCCGGCAGCGCTCTTCGATCATCTTGGGAGTGAAGTATTTCGGACACATATGAATTCGAGTGCTGCTACTGCTACTATTACTGCTACTGCTTCTACTGATGCTGCACCGTTCAAGCCGATACCCAACAATGAGCGCCTCGATTTGGCGCGCTTCCTTGCTAAAGAACCAAAGGCACGTTATGATCGTTCACTTCTTTCGGAATTTGGTTCTAGTTTAAATGGACGGACGGTCCACTGAGCAATTTCGGCTGTCAGCGGTAGCTGTGACGTTGATGTTGGACAAAGAAGGCGAAAGTAGTGGTGAAAGGAATTCGCAGAGTTTTCACTTTTGCTCATTCGGCCAGTAAGCCGGCCTGGATTTTCGTCGGGTTCCAGAAGTCAAAGTCTAGAATTCGGGACCGCACAATTCGGGTTTCAAATGTCGGTTAAATGTCACTGTAGTTTTAAGTTGAGCTCTTTTCGGCTTTGTTTGGACTAGCTTGACTGTAACTGCTCGCTCTCAACCCGTACTTCTGAGGAGTCAGTGCTCTTTATGTGCCGACGGATTTATTCAGGAGTGGACAATGGAGGATGTCATTGCATGGTTGCTACACATTGCTAAACTGAATGGCATTCCATTCGAGGATTTGGAAGTGCAGAAATTTGCATACTGCACTGGAATCGACCTGATGCAGATGGGCGAGGCCGATTTTATAGCACGTGATACTGTTTATGGCTCCCTGATTTACAATGAGTTCCGGAAGTTTTTAGCCGGTCTGTATTTATTACCTTTGTTGCAGCTCCCTTTTTAGCAACTCTCAAACGACCATTCCCTTCAGTCATAAAACTTCAGCTCCTACAACGTGATGCTTGCCTTTTTCTGCTGAGCAGTAATTTCCTAAATGAGGGCAGTTCGTTTGCTATATACTGAATTCTTGAAGTTTTGAAATTTCTCAGCGTCTTCTGATAACAGAGAACGAGGCAAGAGAGTTCCGAATTTAGGATGTCATAGCGCAGCTGGTGGTGCCCTTCCAGAAATTGTCTCCCAAATTGCACTCCCCACACTTCCTAACAAGCACTTTGGTTTTAAAACTTATTGTAAAAGTGACTGTTTAGAAGAAAAAGTTACTGATAAATGGGTGCCTGCTTACAAGCCGCAAGAAGAAGAGGCCAGTACGAGTGCTTTGCCAGAGGATATCAGGTACCACTCGATCAGTTCTTCCTTTTAAGGATTCAGTTATGATTACCAGTTACCTTTTCCTGCCGAGCAATTATAGCGTGATTTCATTTAACTGGCATCAAGTTTTTTGTTAGGATGCATTTGTATCAGCTGTACACACTGCTGTTTAGTGCGAATGTAAGGCGTCACACACATCACCGGTTCCAGGTTTGCTTTCGCAGATTGAGAGTCTGCTGATAAGAAGGGCAAAACTGTGTCTGGTATAAATTCCTGTGAATCCTGAAGCAGCCGTACGGTGCAGAGTATGAGCTGTACTGATTTGCATTGATCGGTGTATACAGAAGCCAATTCTAGGGCATCCTGTATCGGTGATGGGTTACCTTCCAGCACAAGTGTGCTCTCTTCGCTTTTGATATCTGATAATACTCCGATTGCCTCGTCATCTGACATGCAGTCGTCAGTTTCGCCTTCGCAAGTAGGCACAAGCATTGCGAGCAGCTCGGACTTTGGTTCTCCCGGTCAGTTAAGCACAATTTTTTTTACTTCAGACGAATAAAAGTATTTGAATTTTGTGTATGTGCAAAACGAAAGAGACAGTTGGAATGGCACTCATTAGGCATTGGCCAGTGAACACCATTGGCACTGTAAAATTCTGGAATAATTTATAAAGCGGGAAGGGGACAGAGAAGTGGACTGAGAGAGATCTGTGCTTCTTTGGAGCGA